AATGAAGTTCTTAGCAATGCATATTACTAATCAAAAATTACGTTTTGATATATTTACGGTAAGAAATTTACAAAATATCTTCATGGAACATGATCTTTACTTAATATCCTAATGATACGCCGTGACTGAGTGTGGAATCATGGGAGTTGTCGTCTTCATCCAGCCGATGCAATCCGACGGGACGCGGGCAGAAATCATGTTCATGGATGAGCTAATGATTTATTAACGTAGTAGAATGAAGCAGGGTGAGGCTGAAAGCTGTCGAAGCGAAACGAGACTGCTGAACGAGCGCGACACATGTACGGCTCGAAAGCAGCGGAGCTTTTATTATGCCACAGTCGACTGCTTCCGCTCTTTCCGGTCGTGCGTATGTGAGGTATAGCAGCGCTGTTTTATCATACTAGATACATTTGAAAGTTCTGTTATAATGCTACACTGTGCGGTCATCACCCGTCTAATAAAACACATAACATATTAAAGCGTCTTTGGTGTTTCCATGTTTTCTAAAGAACAATGACGTCAAAGTTATTACGTCATTGGCAGGCGACACAATGACACTATAGACACGTTCCGTGTCACTATTTAAAATAGCTTATTTGTCTGGATTTAAACATTCTTCGAAACATTTGGGATACTGTAAGTACACAAGTCAGCAAAATATAGTGAAAGTGAAGTGACATGTGGCCAAGTGTGGTGACCCATACTTGGAATTAGTGCTCTGCATTTAACCCATCCAAAGTGCACACACACAGCAGTGAACACACACACACACCGTGAACACACACCCGGAGCAGTGGGCAGCCATTTTTGCTGTACATTCACTCCCCCAGTTGGGGGTTCGGTGCCTCAAGGGCACCTCAGTTGTGGTATTGAAGGTGGGAGAGAGCGCTGTACATTCACTCCCCCCACCTACAATCCCTGCCGGTATGAGACTCGAACCCACAACCTTTTGGGTTACGAGTCCGACTCTCTAACCATTAGGCCACAACTTCCCCATATAACACTGTTCTAGTGGTTTTTGGATATTTTAATAAAAAAAATCTTACATGTTGTGCCTTTTAAGATTGGTTTTGTGGTCCAGGGTCACATATCGAAACCATTGTATTACCCTGACAATTTTGAAAATAAAATCAATTAAAACATGCTCATCATGTAAAAGGTGTTTTTAAGTCATAAGTCCCATCACACAGTAATACCAGTAAATTGCCATAAAATTACCGGAACGATTTTACCGGTAAATACAAAAATGCACCGTTCACACAGACAACGACGTTCCATCTTTTTACCGGTAACGCACCATTCACACATCAGTTTCAAAATACCGGTAAATTCTGTGACATCATTAACCAGAAATGACCTCTTAACGGCTGTATCTCGGTGTTGTGTTTGTAAACATGGAGGGGTATACGTGGTCAGTGTTTTTGTTGATGTTTAAACATTCACATTTATGCAGCTGCTTTTGGCCCAGAAACATCTTATTAGGTAACTTCGAACCAAACTACACAGTGTGTGTGGAGTAACTGCGTCATCTGCGTCAGAATGTTGTGATTGGCCCAGAGTAGACGTCTTATTTCAGCGAGTTCTGAACTTGTATATGTTCATACCAGTAATCTCGTTCTGCGTTCACACAGACCACATTACTGGTAATGTTACAACTTCTCGTTCCCGGAAAGATAAATTGCCGGAAAGAATTTGCCTGAGCCATATTGCCTAGTGTCAAGGTGGAGACTTTTGCAAACACACATTTTCTCATGTTGAATATAATCATGCACCTATGACCTTAATCACAGTCTCTGTGATACATTTTCACCCTCAGGTAACAACCAAGCGGGCACAGGCTTGGTGTCAAAGTAAGAACAACATCCCGTATTTTGAGACCAGTGCAAAGGAGGCCATCAACGTAGAGCAGGCTTTCCAGACCATCGCGCGCAATGCACTCAAACAGGTATGTTTGTTGAAATACGTGTTGCGTTAGGTGATAAAAGTGATGAAGCCCAAAGTATGCTTACGAGTAGTGCACTTGATGCAAATTTCATCATTCGCATAGTATGCACGTATTTAAGAGTTTTCTAATTGCGCATAAGATGTACGCTCGGCACACATATGCGCCTTGGTTTTTTTGCACTAATTAGATTGTACGCAACGTGCCAACACCGCTAAAGCCCGTTGTTTCTTTGTCGAAAAGAAATCCGTGAAACAGAACAACAACAAACTACTGTAGATGGTAACATCAAAACGTTGTGTAACGAGTTAAGAGATACAAGCACTAGTTTAAACCGGTACAACAAGTACGATTTTTAACAGTGATAAATAGAAGCCTGTTTTCATTACCGCGGGAAGTAGGGGTGCTGCAGCACCCCCTGGCGTGTAGCCCAAGAAAAAAACGGGGGGGCTGGGGGTGCGGTATTAAAATTTAGTAACAAAAAATAAATAAAACTAATTTTATTAATTTGTATATTCATTAAAATGCATAGAAAAAAAATAGCCTAAGCCTACAGTGACAATAAGCAACAATAAAACATGAATTAAGTTTAATCAAATTGATTGTGAAAGTCGTTTCAACTTAAACTGACTTAGGAAGTCGTTTGTTGCCACGACTTTTTGATCATATTATTACCTGTAACATGTCTGTGCCGGACCCAAATCAAGAATTAGCGACCATTTCTACAGCCACTGCGAAAATACAACCGAGAAAGACCGAGAGCGTCTATTACCTCAGCAGCAACCAATAATAATAACATTCTCACTTCTACAGCGCTTATTTTGATATTTAACGTTAGATCTTTCATATTCTTGAACAAAATTAATGCTTAAGGTTGATTCAGTATTACTCTTAATGAAAAAAATAAAATCCCACACATAGCAATAGCCTACTACAATGACAAAGTAGCTTATATTAAACATAAAACTATTATTAACAGAACGAATAAGACATACCCGCGTTGTAACAAATAAATAAAAGGTTTTTGGATTTTCCCCTTACTTCAAACGAATGCTTAGTTTGTGGCTCATTATTATTATTATTAATAATAATACAAAAGGCTATACAATAAAACAGTACGATGACAAATTTACTTATATTAAACTTTGAACTTTTATTAACAATATGAATAAGGAAAATGTGTTTGTAACACAAATAAATAAACAGTCTTTGGATTTCCCCCCTTTTTTTAAACGATCGTAGTTTGTGGTTCATTATTAGCCTATTGATTAAAACACATCAGCCATAAAATAGTACAGTGGTAAATTTGCATAGGCCTATATTAAACATCTAACTTTTATTAACAAAATGAATAAGACGGATATAGTCTACTTCCGTTGTAGCTAACCCAAATAAATAAGGTATTTTCCCTCTTTTAAAACAAATTATTAGTTTGTGGTTCATTGTTCTATTTATGTATTTATTTTCAATGAAAACGGCAACAATAAAGACAAACTCGCTTGTATTAAATGAAGAAATGAAACTTTTATTAACACAAGGTGCGCTTTTTTTCTCGCAATTGCGAGTTTACATCTTGAAATTCTGCGTTGTTCGCAATCGTTTTTTTCCCCGCCATGGAATAAAAATAATTTCACGTAATTGCGAGAATTCTGAGTTTCTATCATGCAATTCTTTTTCCTCTGAATTCTGAGTTTATCTCACAATTATGAGTTTATATCTCAAAATTCAGTTTATTCTGAGAAACGGAATCAGAGACAAGGATGAACCAATGTCAAGTGCCTATGTTTCTGTCAAATGGCGTATACTTTAAAAGGCTGTGGATTTGGCTGTATGTATATGCTTAGTGTTTACGTCAAAACTAAAGTATACTTTGGACTTATCTGTACCCATTTTTTTTATTTTGTAGGAAACCGAAGTGGAGTTATACAATGAGTTCCCTGAGCCAATTAAACTAGACCGGAACGATAGAGCCAAGCCATCAGCAGAGACTTGCAGCTGCTGAGGACCTCCAGGGGGCGCAACATTTCACCCTCAGCCTCTCTGGCCTCGTCTCTGCCTCACTCTCTCTCTCTCTCTTGCATTCTTTCTTTCACCCCTGTTCTCCTTTATCTCCTTCCCTCCCCCTTACTCGATATAATCACCGGCCTTTGTAGATGAGCAGACTTCCTCCCATTCAGTATCCTTCACAGTTCTCATTCAGAGCCTTTGACACAAACACACACCCACATATGCTCAAGAGGCTCAATCTGACACCCGTTTTCGTACACGAATCCCGACACCTCGCACCGGTTCTGCAGAGCTGTCGCCTCGCCCACGTAAAAAGTCCTACTGAAACTCTTCACAACACTTGAATGGCTCTTGAGACTTTTTTATGATCCAGTCCCGCAGTGCAATTGGAATACGTTTGACGTGAACGCTGAAAGATGGGGGGTGTATCAGAGCCGTGCGTTGGCACCATAACTACCCACCATGTTCAACAGCTTCATCAATGTGCTTGAATTAATAAGGCGGCCTGGCGTAAAGCATGCTACATTTGCATCTTAAAGTCGTGAACCTGAACGCTCCTCAGTTTGTGAAGTCCCGAAGCACTGGAGGTCTAACACTGCCCCCGCTGTTACATCTGAGAACTGCAGTCAATTAATCCAGTGTACGCCCAATCGCTGACCTCAAAATGGAACAGGAAAATATGAATAGCAAACCATGCGATGGGAAATTTAGATATTACATCTAAATGATCTACTATTCATACTATTATGACAATTAGTATTTATATGTATTTTTTTATCGTCAATCCTCATGTGAGCATGACCGAATCACCGCGAGTCTGCCATGAACAAGCAGTGGCGTAGACGATTTCTTGTCGTTTTTGTTTTTTTCTTTCTTTCATATCTTGCCCGGACTCTACCAGTAGCTCAGGATGGTAGAGAATTTAAGTGCTCAGTATCATTCGGATCTTTTCCCATCTGTTTGTTCATTATTATTTTTATTATTATTATCTGTGTTGCATTATATTCAAATAAACACAACTAGACAACATTGGGGGAGAACTGAATTGTTCATGACATTTAATGAAACAAAAATCACAGCATATACATTGTTCAAAATAAATGTATTTCAAAGTAATGGAAATAAAAATTAAGTTGTTGAATAAAACTGTGGTATTTTGTGTGTTTGCTGTACATTGTTATTAAGAAGTGAACTGGAACTATTTGAAATGAACGAATGAAATGTCTACAAATCAACTATTATAAGTTACATGAATTTTCATCATATAAAATCATCAAAAATGAACAATGCATACTACTACACACTGAATACTTGGCAAATGAGCTGTTAGCTGTCTTAAAGATGAGTTTGTTTTTCATTGAAAGAACAGATTTGGAAAAATGTAGCCTTACATTACTTGCTCATCAATGGATCCTCTGCAGTGAATGGGTGCCGTCAGAATGCGAGTTCAAACGGGTGATTAAAAACATCCACAAGTACAGTAATCCACACGTCTCCAGTCCATCAAAATGAAGTCTTCTGAAGTGAAAAGCTGCATGTCTGTAATAAAACCAAATAAGATGTTTTTAACTTCAAACCATTGCTGCTGGATAACATAAAAGTCCTCCAAGAATAATACTGCTTTCTCTGGTGAAAGTCATCTTGTCTGAATCAGGAGAGAAATAAGCACAGATCAAGCACTGGTCACAAGCAAAAACAGTCCAAATCAGTTCTAAACAATTATACTGATGGATTTTTACGGGAGAGGACAAGTGGGTTTTTTTCCACTGGAGGAAGCCTTATTACGGATTATGGACTCGTATTTTGGCCAGAAGTTAAAATGTCTCAATAATAGTTCATTTGTTTCTTTCAAACACGCAGTTTTTCAATTCACAAGACATTATTTGATTAATTCACTTAATTAAGTTGTGTAGATTATTGTGATGTTTTTATCGGGTGTACTCATTCTGACGGCACCCATTTACTTGCACAGGATCCACTGGTGAGCAAGTGATGTAATGCACATTTTTTTTCAAATCTGTTTTGATGAAGAAACATCATATTCTGTACATCTTGGATGGCCCTGAGGTGAGTACATTTTCAGCAATTTTTCAGTTTTGGGTGAACTACTACTTTAACAAACATTTTTAGGCATGTCAAGGTGCATTTTCAATCTTTTGGTCATTCTTGGCACCCATTTACTTGCACAGGATCCACTGGTGAGCAAGTGATGTAATGCACTTTTTTTTTTCAAATCTGTTTTGATGAAGAAACATCATATTCTGTACATCTTGGATGGCCCTGAGGTGAGTACATTTTCAGCAAATTTTCAGTTTTGGGTGAACTACTACTTTAACAAACATTTTTAGGCATGTCAAGGTGCATTTTCAATCTTTTGGTCATTCTGAAGAACATTGTGATTCTGTTTTCAAGTTCTTGGTTTCTTTCTGGAACCCGATCCCAGCAGCCACTGCAGGAGAGGCCCAGCCGGCTTGGTTTGCTTCTCTGCTGCAGACTTTTCTTCAGGTGCTTTAGCTGAAGTGTCTTCATCAGGATTCTTCCTCTTAGTGGGCGAGGCAGTTTTCAGCCAGCTCGTCATCATTTTACTGCTGGCTGTAGGTTGAACAGTCTAGACGGGGCGGGAGGTCAGTATTTAAAATAATCAAGAAGTTCACATTCATATGTGTCAAAGATTTTAATAATGGTTTGTGATCTTTATGATCTTTTCAAATGACTGTATGTAATGTATACATTTCATTTATTCTTGTCCCAGATCCAGAACATAAATCCTAAACTATGAAAATTCATTTTAAAAATATGAACACATTACCATCCAAAGGTTTGGGGAATGTAATTTATTTTATTTTATTTTTTGGTAAAAGAAAATTAATTTCAGCAAGGATGCATTAAATTTATCAAAAGTAACAGTAAAGTAATTTATAATGTTAAAAATATTTATATTCCAAATAAATGCTGTTCTTTTCAACGTACTATTCATCAAAGAATCAAGAGTAAAGAGTAAAGGCTGCAGAAAATTCAGCTTTGCCATCACAGAAATAAACAGTCATTTTAAGCCATACTATTTTTTTACATTTAATAATAAAGGTCAAATTAATAAACTATTGTAAAAATAGTTTTAAGTGCATTTGTTTTCTAAAAATGACCAAACGTTTCACCTTCTCAACTGTGGGGTCTACAGGCTGCAGACACTCTGGAGAGTTGTTGCGGGAATTGTTGACCAATGAGGAGATGGGGTGAAAGGTTAAGGAGGACTTTGGTTGCAGTAATTTCATTGCTTCCAGTGACTTCACTTCTCCAAAGTCCAACCACCATCTTACCTCATCCTCTCTGTCCAGCACAGCCGGCATCCTGTTACACAACACATTAATTCAAGCTTCATTTTGACTCCGTACAAAAGTTGTATGACCCTGAAAACTCCATGAATCATATTTATGCACTCAACCTGTCATGGTCATGGATACTTTGAAGGTTTGGAGAGGAGTCTACAGTAATAACAGTGTAAGTATACAATGTCTCTCCACCACAAGGAGGAGTCCAGGAGTCAAAGAGCCCTGCTATTGTCAGCAGACGCCACCCTGTCCAGTCACTGTCGTCCTGATCACTCTGTAGACAAGTGGAGGAATAAACAGACGAGTAAGGCCAGGCATAAGTTAACAAATTTACTTCTTACGACTGTCAGACTTGGGCTAACCTCTCCTTGGTCCAAACTTTGGTCACTTTTTGTTTTCTGTGCATTCTGTTGACTAGGCACTTGACCTCCTTGGCTTTGAGGGAAGTAAATGAAGAAAGGTAAATGTAAATGTAAAAAGTAAATGTTTCTCTTTGTCCATTTGCCTCCATTCATAGAAGCCATTGGCTAGAATGACACAGCGCTGTCCTTTCAGAAGAGGGTCCCGTACAATAAGTTTTCAGCAACAAGTCATATGTCTGTCCACAGAATATTAGAATATATTTGATGTTTAATACATAGTAGAGTGCTACAGAGCCTTTTTTCACAAGTGTTTTTTTCTGATTCAATTTTCTATACATAATTTTTAATATATATATATATATATATATATATATATGTATATATAATGTTTATTGGAAAATATGCATTTAATTACAAGAAGTGAAACATCATCCACAGTGCTTCACAGGAGGGAGAGGCTGCTAAAATTTTTTCCTTTTTTTCTCTCCGTAGGATGTCTGCAGGATCATGGGTAATTTAGTTTTTCACCAGTAATTCTGTTATTAAACATAATTATTTAAAATGAAAAATAAAAATGTTGAAATAATGCAGGTCGATGGCATCAATGAAAGTATATAACATAAAGGTCTGTCTTCAGTGGTTTATAAGTTATTGTTAAAAACCAAATTCCCTATGGAACAAAAATGAATGAGAATTTTACCTCCTGTTGCACTCTATTATGTTGAGCTGAACTTTGGACCAATGAGATTTCACTGGATGAATGAGGGTGTCTTATGTACCTTGTAAGACTTCTTTTCTAGCAGGCTCTCATTGCCACAGTTAGAGGTGTTGTACTGCATCTTACTGGGGTCATTCTCTCTGAACCACGCCGGGACGAGATCCCAGTGCATCGCTGCCAACACGCACTCATCTACCGGGGCATCCTATGGAAAGCGCTTAATTAAACAGCTGTTCTTCAAGAACAAATGTTGTGCATATATGTTTAGACATGCCTTGTTGAAGTGTCTGTTGGACACCAGTACAGGGCTGAAGGACTGAGGACTCTTGTATGAGGGCCAGTATTTGTCAGTGTCTCCGTCCTTCCATCGGGGCCCGTGTGGTTGTCTTGATAGCGAGCCGCACGACTGAGCTCATTCAGCACAAGAGTGCAAGCTGTTCTCCCGCACATTCTGGCACATTCCAAACCTGCGTGACGTCACCACAAATTAGACAATGCATTACTTACTTTTATTCACAAATTTAAATGAGCATCACAAAAAAAAACACTTCTACTTATTTTAAAATAGAAATAGGTCACTTACCTTTATTATTTAGAATTAACCAGAAATAACAAAGCAAAATTACTGTACATTACGCAAAAGCCATCTCTTTTAGTTGGTTTATTTACAATTCACAACATTTATGTTATTTGCATAAAGATGCTGATATACAAATCTGTACGCTTTCTTTTTTTTAATTAATATTCTTATGTTTATCTTAGTATTTCAATTTTCTATTATTATTTTTTTTCATGGTTAGCTTTGGTTGTGTTCACTGTTCCAAATGTTGCCATAAAAGCATTTACTTATCGCAACATAAAGCCATCAAAGCACTTTCTAAATGCACTGGTGTAGTTCTGCCAATCGGTTCTTTCAAACGGTTCGAAAAAGCGATTCAGTGATTCTTTTGTGTCATTACGTAAAATGTCATCGCGCGGTTTCTGACGTTCAAGGAAATTGTCTAATGTCTTGGCTATGAAAGTTCCTTACTTTTCTTATAATTCTTGGTTGCCAAACAGTTCGTCTCAGGTTACTTATGTAACCATGGTTCCCTGAGTAGGGAACCAGACACTGCGTCCTCTAGGTTTCCCCATAGGACGCGGTTCGAAGTTCCCATGAAAGGGAACGTCTCAGGTTACTTATGTAACCATGGTTCCCTGAGTAGGGAACGAGACACTGGGTCCTCTAGGGGTCGTTACGGGGAACCTAGAGGACGCAGTTCGAAGTTCCCATGAAAGGGAACTCAGTTTATTAGAAATCGAGCATGTGCGAAGATGGTTCTCAGTTGACTCGACAACCGCTCCGACAGTCCACCTCATGAATCGTTCTACCATTTCATCAAGAATCGACTCACATGAACGATTCTTTCGCGGAATTTTAGCTGTCGGGTCGTTAAAACTGGTCGCTGCACGCCGTTTAATTTTACCTCAAAACTTCACCTCAAAGCTTATTTTTCAGGAGGTGATGCGGCTGGACTGCTACAGTTGCAGACGGTTTCTGCACACCCAGAGTTTGCGTCTTCATAAACTGGCAAACACGATAACAGATAATACATACTACGAACAACAAAGTCGTAAAGGACATTCACACCAGCGCAACAAGTCCTTATTCTGAGGTAAAAGATGTAAGAGAGAGCAACGATGATACTGTTCACTCACTGAACAAGTGTGTAACCCTGCTTTTATACAGTCTATGGTGTAAACATACGGAATGGCTCTGTTAGAACAACCTATCATAACAATTCAAATCAAAGTTTTGCATACAAAACAGAAAAACGGTGATAGAAAACACTAATCCAGTAATAATAATAATAATAAAAAAAAAAAATCGTTTTTATTTTCAAACACATACATGCAACCGCGATGTGATACACGTTGTTTACAATATACTTAATTCAACATGGACTGAAATAAACGACAGCATATATGAATTTACAAACCCAATATTTCCATGTACAATACCTTTTTAAAAAGCTTTATTTTCTTTTAATCATATAAAAACTCAAAATGACCGTGTAGTAACAAAATACTATCAACGCTATGACAACGGCTTTCAAGGAACAGTTCACCCCAAAATTAAAATGTTGTCTTTTTCTTCACCCTTATGTTGTTTCTGTATGATTTTTATTTTAAATGTTTTTGAAAGAAGTCGTCTCAACAAAACTTTATTTATTTGATCAAAAATACAGTAAAAATGGTATAAGGTATCATAATACTGTGAAATATTAATTTTACAGTATTACAATAACTTTTTTCTAACTGAATATAAGTGAGCTGTAAGCTCTAATCATCATAATTAAAACAAAATTAAAAAAATTAAAACAAAATTACATAATTAAAACAAAAAAATACATTTGAAATGTTTTACTTTACATGTAATGAATCTTCACTTTTTGAAACAAGTTACAAAAAAAAAAGAGAACTTTTTCACGATATTCAAATTTTTTGAGATGCACATGTATTTTAAAATGTAATTTATTCCTGTGATGGCAAAGCTGAATTTTATCAGCCATTACTTCAGTCTTTAGTGCCACATGATCCATTTATTATTATTATTATCATCCATGTTGAAAACAGCTGTGCTTATTATATTTAATAGTATTGTTATGTTTTTAAGTAGTAATATTTAATAATATTCATATTTTATGTTACATTTATTTATATTTTCGTGTAAAACAAGATATATTTTTTTGGTAAAATAGGAAGTTTAAAAGCATTTATTTTAAAAAAAGAGAAATCTTGTGTACATTTTTGTCAATTTTGATCAATT